AAGAATCAAGTCGAAGTCATTCGTATCGATCACAAACGTGTCTACGACTAGAGTTCGGCCTCCGATATCGATGCTAAGGTTCTTGGCCAGGGAACTCGTAACTATCTTCCTTCCCGATGTGAGACTGATCTCGAGAGGGTCGACAGTACTCACTCCCTGGGACCCTAAGACTGATAAACACTTGGTCGAGACAAACGAATGCGTCGTCCCGGTATCAAATAAAGCGAAGACTGGAGTATGGAACAATGATAACATGCCCGACATAGTACTTGACCGCTCAGCGGCCTAGTCCTGGTCAAGCGCGTAAATATGGGCGGGTGCTCCACGCTGCTGCTGCTGCTGTCCTGGAGGTCTCTGGGCTGGCTGTCTCGGTGCTGACTGTCTCTGAGCAGGCTGTCTCTGGGCTGGCTGCTGTCGGGGTCGGTCTGGGCAGTCGGCAATCTAATGTCCTGGTCGGCTGCAACGATAGCAGACGTTCTACCCTGCTAGACACTCCCCGCGGTGCGGACGTCCGCAGGTGGCACAAGCCGGCAAATCCTGTCTGGCTGGTGGGCCTGCCTGAGCTGGGCCTCTCTGTCGGCAATCCTTCCTGTTGTTACGGTCATTCCATTTCCTCTTGTTCGGGTTTGGCGCCTGCTGAGGTGGCGCTGGCTGAGCAGGGTGAATGGCGGCTGGTTGTCTGGATGGCGGCTGGGCAATGGCATCCCGCTGGAGGTACGCCTCAATCTGCTGAGCACGCTCAACAGTCTCAGCATACTCAAGGTAGCCATGACTGGCCACCAACAGTCGAATGTTGCTCCTCAAACCATCGAGGAACTGTGTTGCCTTCTTCTCCTCCGTATCCACGAGATGTGGAGCAAAGGTGCTCTTACGAGCGAACTCACGCTCGTACTCATCCACTGATCGCTCACCCTGCTGTAGGGCGAAAAACTCCCGTACCATCCTCTGCTTGAAATGGCGAGGGTAGAACTTATCCTCTAAAAGCGTCCTAAGTTGCGCCCATCTCATGGCCTCACGCTCGTCCTCGGTGCGTAAACGCAATAATCCTCCCACCAATCTCCTGCGGCGCCCTCGATCTGTAGTTCGGCGCAAGCCATCTTATGCGCCTCGGAAATACCCATAATGCGAAAAATCCGCTCCATCTTGCGGATCCATTCGCTCACGGCTAGCGGGCCATCCTCCCCGGAGAAACTGGGCGGGTCTTAGGTGCGGAATCGGCTGACCACGACAGCCTGGTCCTGCTCGGCTGCAGCTTGAGGATCTCTGCGTGGCGGCATTCTGGAGATGCAATAACACTTGAATTGATCAGTATAACCAATTAAGTAATAGCCATACTAGACTTGAAATAATAAAATATAAATAATATCCGAAAACACCTAGCTTGGCTAGAGTTCCAGTATACTTAAACTTCTATGTTCTGGCTCATACTGGAGTTCTGACTTAGTCTAGAGTCCTTGGACTTAGCTGTGCTAGAATTCTGTCTAGAGTTCTCTTCTCTAGAGTTATCTGTCTTAAAGGAGGATAGTTATATTTGAACTTAAATCAGCACTTGCAAAACTTAAACTTGGCTTAGGTGACTTATCTCAGAGTCGGCGCGGAGTGAGCGTGGCGTGGTCATGCTTTTCTAAAACTTTGAAAGGTATCCAGAACACTAGGTGCTCTGATACCAAGCTATAACACCCCGCCTTGACTAGCTTTGACTTTTGAAAAATCAGAGTTAATTTTTTGCTTTTATTTTCGAAATATCGTGCGAGCTTATTTTCGAAAATACTTTCTTACTTGCGGGATGCTACGAAAACTTTCTTAACTTACTATCTCGGACATAATAAAACATGCAACCAAAACGAGCCACTATGGCATACTGGAATTATACATGCAGTCCGTCTGTCTCGCACTAATATCTTAGCGGAAGCTGAAAGTATGAATACAATCATACAAACTTATACATAACATGGTTCATGAATGGTGGTACATAAAATGATGGTAAAAATGTCCACGGCTCATGACCACACTTGCCACACTAGCTCACCCGGCTCGCTCGACTCAGTCACCTGAAAAACACAATGGGGGCGTGAGCAAACCACTATGCTCCACAAAGACCAGTACTGAATTAAACAGCATAAATAATAACATATCATAAGCATCAATATATAAGAGCTAAACTGTAAACTTTTCTTTTTCTTTTCTTTTCTTTTCTTTTCTTTTCTTAAACTTTGGTCCGTTGACTCTCGGCCCTCGGCCGCTCGTGTGCACACCATCCAGACACTGAGGACGAAGCCCCAGCCGGATACCAGGTGGAGTAGGAAGGCCCTAATTTCAGCCTCTCACCTGAGAGAACTAATTGTCTCAAACATACCTCAGCCATGGTACAGATGTTATAAATGATGTAGAATCCAATACATGACCCCCACTTGGTATACTAAAATGATCTGGCAAGTGTTGAAACTGGGGTACCTGTCGGAGGCTCGACTCTCCTTAAGCTACCAAAATATAAGCAAATATATCTAAGAAATTTGCTCGACTTATAAAAATTGATACTGAAACTTAGACAGTTAAGCAGGCAAATCAGATATAGCATGAAAATCACGTAAGGCACAAAGATGCATATGAACACTGAAAACTGGAATGGATTTTTCTCGGCTCGACTGGACTGTCTTAGGGTTTCTCGGAGAAATTCTCACTTCGGCTCCGAACCCCATTTTTTTCTAAATTTTCTATATTGTCTCGCACCGGCCATTCTCGCCGTACTTCGGCGACTATATCCGACCAGCTCACATGCTAAATGATGTTATGAATGAATGGTCACTTAAGTCCATGCATTTTTATTTAAATTATTTACTAGAATTAAATGATTGACTAAACTCTCTCGATTATTATAAAATCAAATATAACTCTGAAAATTCTCAAATTTCACAGTAAAATAGTTCACTTAACCATGTACATGCTGTACAAATTTCAACTCATTTGAACATTAATAGCTTATCCAATTAGCATCTCAAACTTAACATGTGAAATGCACTTTACACGCATGCATTCAAATAATTTTATAAATTGGTAATCTTGTCTTCTGAAGCTCAAATTTGGTGACATTACTCATAACTCATACAAGAAATTCCCCTTAAAATTTCACATTAATCCCGCAAGTATTGGGGGAGTTCTAAAGCATCAAAATTCAACTCAACATGCATTCGGTCTAATACATATAACTCACTCATTTCTTATGATAAAATCATGAAATTTGGTGTGCATTCTCTTAACTCATATATAAACATGTCCTAAAAATTTCATAATTTTATCCTAAGTGTAACTCTAGTTATTCGTGTTTGAAGTCGCAACTAAATTCGCGCATAGAAAGTTCAATTAGTACATCTAACTTTGAAAATCAATAACTCGAGTTATTCTGGACCAATTGACTTCATTCTTGATCCTATGAACTCCACTTTTCCACAAGAAATATCCATAAAATTCTAAAATTTCCATATTTTTCAGAGCATAGGCAAAAACGTACAAAATCATAACATATAGAACATGCAAGAAAAACTTGGAGTACTTAAACATTAAGCATGCTTGAAACTACTTCAAAACTGAACATATATAGCTCAGTTATATATCAATCAACTCCTTTTCTCATCTATTTTATGTTTATAAAATAATTTGAGCACACCAACCTCTAAAATGTCTCAAAAAATGCAAAAGAACTCGGTATGCTCGATTGTCTTGTGTTCTTGTGAAGTTGCGGCCTTGTAGCTTGAAAACTTGAACTTTCTTGAACTTTGATGCTCTTAAACTCTTCTATGGTGAGTAAGGATGAGGGTGAAGGTGATGGTATTCTGTTTCTATGGGTTAGGGGTGAGTAGAACTCGAAACCACTCAAACATGCACTTGGTAGCAAGGTGTTAGCTCTTGGTTTTTCACTCTCGGCCTTTGTGTTATGGAAGGAGGGCTTGCTGCGATTTTTGCTAAGTATTAGGAGGTTGGATGGCTGAGTAAATGGGAGTGAAGAAGGCTGGTGATATGCTTAAGTAGCCCCCTCAAAGTGGGCGCAAACCTTTAGGAGAAATGGTGGGAGACAAAGGAAAAGTGGAGCACTCCCTCCTTCCATGTGCATGTGGACTATTGAGGTGTTGAGTGCTGAGCTTAAAGGGGTGCTAATGGGCTGAAAATTCTCTGATTTTAGCACTAAGAGGGTTGAGCAACTTCTTGGTCAAAGCACTATGTAGTGGAGGGAACAAGACTCTTACACACAACATATTATATTCCAAGTCCATGCCACTTAATTAGACATATAGAATTTGCTAATCTAGCTCTAACCTTACTAACCTTTAATTAATCTTACTTAGGCATAAAAGTTTACTAAACTCAGCCTTTATACACGCATGAGAGAAGAGATTGGAATTTAAATGGATTATGGTCTTACACCATGTGTTAAAATAAGTACCATGCCCATGATGCTCAACTATAAACTAAGGCTAAAGAAAGTTAACTATGTCTAATGAAACTTAAGCTCAATTTAGGATTAGATAATCTATAATGACCCTCTCAAAACTCGCATGGCATAAGACATAGAAAAGGAAATGGATTTAGGTGAGCCTTGGCTCAAGTCCCGGTACTAGGGCTCGGGTGCGGCTAGTGCACGGCGCGAGACTTAAATGATTCGACTCGAGCGGATTATTATGAACATTATAGATGAATAATCTAACATATCTAAATAATAATAAGGTACTTAAACACATAATTTCACATAATCATCTAATAATCTTAAATCAAACAACTCGGAAATCTAGAAAAATTACCGGTTTCACATTATAGTCGAGCAAGTAAAACCGTTCTGATATACTTGCTGATCGGGGCGTTACACAATCATAATTGAATTAAAAAAACTCAAACATAATTACTAAAACAAGATAAGTTTTGAAACAATAAAAAACTCAAACATAAATATTAGAGCTTCGTATATAAACAATCAAACAAGCTCAAACGTGTTTTGGGGCTATGTTTCCGTACAATCTTACTCCGTTTGTGATTTACTTTGATTCCTTTAGCCATAAAAACAAGAAATGAAGGTTAGAAACCTTGGGTTTAGATCCACTTCAAAAGTATTACTTTTGTGATTCAGTTGGACAATAACGAAAACTTGAATCTGGTTGTCCTTTAATAAAATGGTATAAAACATGAAACCCTCTCATACATATTCAATAAAATCTAAACATGATGGTATAAATCCAAAACATAGTTCACTTGACACCATATTCTACATAATTTAATTCATGTTATTACAACCTTTGCAACATGCTTAAACAATCTTCTAAATTGCTCTAGTTGGCTTAAGCATCACCAGGGCTGTGGGGCTCATAAAACTTAGCTACTCAAATACGCTTTGGTGGAACATAAGGTACACGTTCTTCTTCGCACATATTCTGCAAAACAATAAAAACACACCAATTCAAATTAGAAACATGGATGAAAAACTAGTGCACAGAAAAAAGAATCCAATTATTTTGCCTTTCTGTTACTTTGATCGAGATTTGAATTCTGTTGCTAATCTGGGAAAAACATATCCGAGAATAGAAACCACCGATAAGCATAAAAGAGAATTTGCCTGCAAGTCTTGAGGGAGTGCTTCGGAGACCCCAAGAGTATAGCAACCAGGAACAAACTTTCCTAAAGGTTTCAAAAGAATCAGACACATCTTGAATCACAAAAAAAACCCAATCTTTCATGATAAGGAATGAAAAAATAAAAGTACTGATATCAAACTTGTTCTGCATCAAAACAATAAATGAGAGAATGTGACAGTGAATAAGTACGGGATGAGGCACTAAAATGTGAAGATCATAAATTTCTATCAAAATCATTCAAACACGCTTAGCATATTTTAAAAAACAAATAAATAATATAGGAGATACTGATAACATACTTGTTAAGCATCAAAATAGTAAATGAGAAAATGTAATACTGAATAGTATCTAAAGGGCACCAAAATGTAAAGTTCCATAACTTTCAGATCAAAATATTTCAATTAGGTCCACATAACATAATTATCATACCTAAAGGTGTCTTACAGAGACCTAACTTCCAGATATTGTCCTGATGCCAACTAAATTTTGCTTGGCACCAAGCAGCTTATTTTATATACCCAAAACCCATAAGTGGCAATCCTAATAAGTCTAGGCCATGGCCATATCACAAACCTCTGTTTGTTCTTTTGTTCGTCTGGAGGTATATTGGAATCCACAACCAGAATTTGTTAGTGATTTCAAAATTAAAACATATTCTCGCTAAGAAAATAGAACTATCAAAAGAAGTACCCTTTCTATGCTTGCAGAGGTCCCCAAACATATCATAGTGCATAGAGCATAATTCACATGATGGACAAAAACACACATTTTTCAAGTGTTCACAAATCAGGAGACCGGCTGTAGTAAACCTTATCATCAACTCAGAGATAAATGAGCAAAACATAAGTAAAGACAATGTTAGAGTGGAAGAACAAGCAACTTACCAATACGGAGCCACCGGGCAGCCCAGCTTCTAGTTGGGTCCATGACCGAAATTAACCTATGAACAAAAATTACAACATATTTCAGGAAAAGAAATTCCTTTTTCTTCACTGAAAGCCTTTCCATTGGGTCCCAAAGAGGTGGTCAATCAAGAATGAAAACAAACCCAGTAAAATTTGGAGTCGTGCAGTCCACGACTCTTTCGTGATCCTCTTCCATCTGAAAGAAAGGACAGTTCTCACAACCCGATTCCCTAAACTGCAATAATAATGCATAAATTTTCAATATTTAGCAATAAATTGACATCACAACTTTTTAAGAAAATGTGTTTTGATATCGCTTAAAAAAAGAAACCTGGTCATAGGTCTTCACAAGACGGCACCGAAGGCAGGCTCTGAGCTCGTGTCCGAAGCTTGTCGGTATTTGTGCAACTGTTGCTCCTTGACTTGACATTGTTTTCTCCGGCTTCCTTTACAAGTACAAAGAACAGATACTTATTAAATTATTATTCACAGGATTAAGATAATATTTTCCCAAGCAATTTTACTATAATTGTAACGTCCCACTTTTATTTGCCGAAAATCAGAATAAATTTTTCAAATTTATTTCAAAACACCTGAGGCGCTACTCATTTTCAAACAAACTTCAACACCTTATCCAATTTCTCAATACTAAATCAATTATCAATATCAATCATCAATCATCAGTATTCAATCGTCAATTTTACTAACTCCCAAAACGGGTTTTCCAAAACTCATAAATCACCCAAATCGGGTTTAAATAACATTCATCAATTCTAAGGAGCATCTCCTTAACATTATTCAAGTCATAAAATCCAAATTCATAAATGCAATAATACTCCAATTTCATAGTCATAAAATCCAGAATTCATAAATGCGGAAGCATAACAAATAATAAGACCGGTCATATAGACCGACCACCACTCGCTCTACTCCGCCATCGTGCCTGCCTCGCTTAACCTGAAACGTGAATTTCAGGTGGGAATGAGCACAGTAGGAAAAAGTAGTGCTCACCACCACTATGCAGTAAACATTTATCAAACAAATCAACAGTATGATCTGAGCATGAATAAGAATCAATCTAATATCCCAATCTCCTGTCATAATATCGTCATAACATCGTCATAAAATCAAGACTCGTGTACACACCTACGCATAGACTACTGTTGACTATATATCGAATGCTCTCCGGTCCTACATCGAGTGCCAACCAGTAGGAGTAACCCACTACTACTGACTATATATCGAATGCCCTCCGGTCCTACATCGAGTGCCAGCCAGTAAGAGTAAACCACTACTGCTGACTGTATATCGAATGCCCTCGGGTCCTATGCCAGCCAGTAGGAGTAATCCACTACTGCGGGATAAAATACCGGATGCCCCTCGGGCTTCTATCGGTGCCCAAGCCAGTAGGAGTAAATCCTCAAGGGAGATTACCTTCCCTTAGAACGGGGATAAACGTTCTACGGCCGATACAGCTCACATCGAAGGCTACATGGTTCACATGCATACATTGATCATACCACAAATTATACATTAATAACATTTAGAGCATAGCAAATTTTAAATAAAATCCACCTGGTAAATCGGTAGAGAAGTCACACAAACAGTCGGTAGGTCGAGGGCTCGACTCCTCAAACACCTACATTAAGTCCATATTCTATAATCAACATCTATGCTGACTTAAACGGAATTCACAATTATACTCAGCCAAACTTGATTCGACTAAGCTGTTCGTGAAGTCCTGTGGACGTTGGAACACTTAGACTCGACACTAAGACTCAACCAAATACACGTGGGAGTTCACATAATCCAAAACAAATATTGATCAAGTCAAACACTCAAAAGAATGGAAGGCGAGTTGATTTACCGTTTTTAATTCAAAAATCATATATTCAAAAATACTAGATTTTAATCACAAAAATAGGTTGGTCAGGTTATCAAACAATTTAACTATGAAATTTTAACTAAAATTTCACCTCTCAGAGTTAAACAACACTACCAATTTTCGTAGAGTTAAACAACACTACCAATTTTCAGCCCCAAACTCAAAGCATGCTATTTTATAAAATTCGAGCAAGTTTATGGCAAAAACAAGCATACAATTAGCAACCAGATCAAATGAATGAATTAACCTATGAAATTTTTATATCACAAACTACAGCATGAGAAGGACAACATATCAAAAATTCAGCTCTGGACATTGACTGTACGAATTTTAAAAATTCCTACAAGTTTCAGCAGTTATCGAATTTCAATCAAAATCAAACCAAATGGAACTCCAAAAATTCCCATCTTTTAACAGCATGAAAATACACATAATGCAAGTACTCCAGCCAAGTTTCAGAATTTTTCAACAACTAACAAATTTATGATAAATAAAACAACTTTCTGCAGAATCAGAAAATAAATTAATTACCCTATCAAACTTAGTCCAAAAATTTTAAAAATTTTACACAGAGCATAAACATGCCAGAGTCATAACATACTCAAATTTCAGCACAATTGAAGTACGGAACAATTTATTATGCACTTTACATGATTCTGACCAGAAATTACTTCATTTATTAAAAATAGCTACAGACATTTAAAAATTACGAAATTTTTACACAAGCCTGGTAATAAGCAAAGGCCGTGACCCTCAAAATTTCAAGGCAGTCCGAGCTGCGTGCGATGTTTAATAATTCTAACACTAAAACAGCGAAATTCGAGCTCGACAATTTAACACATAATTCATAACATGAAATTTCTCGTCCGAGGCCTTCCCATAAGGCCAAGGACTCGACATGGTTCCAAAGTCCACCTTACATGCATCTCGAGGTCTCGCTCGATTCCTTAAAATCGAAGATATCCCGAACAACACGAACACGCCAAAAGTCACGATTTTCACACAATTTCATATCGAACACATTAAAAGACATCACAACATGGATTAAAACTCCATTAAAGCCAAACGACTATTCAACACCTTAGAACACAAAATTTCGAAAATAAAAATGGCTCAACTTGGAAATGAACTTGATTTTAGAAAACCAAATTTTCTCATAATGAAAACCATAACTTCAAGCATAATATTGGACACTAAAAGTTCTATTACCAGCATTAAAATAAGCTAATAAATTCGGCTACAGACTGCTCATTTCACGAAATTCAAAGGTCAAAACACTTGGAAATTAAAAATTGTTTTTCTCCCAAAATTCAAAGCCAACATCTCACAAATTTGAGTCACAAACACACCAGCTACTGAGGCGATTTAAGGCTGCAAAAGTTTTGAAAACACAGTCCCAAAATACTCACGGCAATGAAGAATATTATCAAGTAAAAACTCCCAAAATTTCTAAACATGCATGACGGCTTCAAAACTCAACCTTGCAAAAATATATTCACGGCCGAGGTTTTAAACATACTTGAATCCCTCAAAAAAATTCATGAAAAATAAGAAGAGGGTATAGCCTTATACCTTCTTCCGGAATCTACTAGTAGGGATTGAAAGAGATCAAAACTCAAGACCTCGGACGCTCAAACTCGGCCTCGGCAAAGCCCGATAAAACTCTAGCCGGCTTCTCGGGGACAGATGCTACACGCACAGAAAAGCCTTCGGTTCACGTGCTGCTAATTGGCTTCTCGCGTGGCTGTTCTCGGTGATTATTCTCCGGCGAAGAGGGCTCGCGGCGGTGGCTGGAAAAACGAGTAAAAAGGGCTTGCTGCTCGCTGTTCAGGATTTTCTGAGGTTTGTGGATTTGTTTTTTTTTTTCAAAGTATCGAATCAGAGAGAGGAAGACGAGGAGGACGATGGTGGGGATGATGGCGAAATTCTCTTTTTCGTTTCTGACGAGAGCGGCGTTTTTTGAGAGAAGGGAGAATACCCATAAATAGACTACGGCTTTGACTTATCAACCAAGCCTAGGAGCGGGTTGGTCAACCAAGCCTAGGAGCGGGTTGGGTCGCGGGCGGGAGTACGGGCCAGTTCGTCTATTGGTTCGGGTTTAGTTTTTCCGGGTTCGATAATTAAGTCGCACGATAAATCAATCGGATATTATATATACTAGTGTGTACCCCGTGCGATGCACGGGACCAATATTATAAATAGACCTCGAGTTTGAGTCACTCAATGGCGGAAGTGGAAATTACTATTGATCTTATTTAAAAAGAGGAAGAAAAAAATAATTATAAATTAAAGAGGAGGATAAACAATACTTAATAATTATAAATAAAGATTCGGGGTCAAACAATATAAAACTATTTTGTATAAGAGAATATAAAAAAATTTGATTACAATTATTGTTATACTTTTTTGTATGGTTAGCTTATAATATTTGTAAAAATATTAGTAATTAGACCGATGAAAATTAGCTTCTTAAAGTAGATAATGGATTTCTAGTAGTAATTATGAATTGGTTTCTATTTTATTTTATTTTTTCTTTTTAAAGATAATGAATTTCTAGTAGTAATTAAGAATTGGTTTCTATTTTATTTTAGTTTTTTAAATTTGTATAGATAAGAGATAAGATTTTTTAAACACGTATGCAATGGGATTTGTAACAGAAGAGATAAGCTCGTGTAGATTTACACTAAAAATAAGAAAAAAGAAAAACAAATATTTATTGTCAAATAACGGTTTTGATAAACTAAAAAACAGGAAAAAAAGAAAAATAAATCTTTACACAATTAATGAGCCGATTTTTTTGCCTATTCAGATTTGTCAAACAATTACTATATGCAAGATATATTTAATGATTTTGGCGGGAAAAAGTTTCCAAATTTGTAAAAAGGTTATTATTTTTATATAATGATAGATTTATAAATTTATAATACACATAATTAAATTTAAAAATAATAATAATATTCGTAAAAATACAATTACATATTTTAATTAAATAATAACACTTAGACAATTAGGCAATTAATTAAAATTTTAGACAATTAAACAATTTGACAAATAAGTCATATTAGACAGTTATAATTTTTAGCATTCAATAAATAATAATAACAATAAATAAATATAAATAATAATAATAATAAATAATTCTCAAAATTCCATAATCAAACGAGGCATTACAATAACTAAAAAGTATTTTGTACTAATTCTAACTTATGTTTTTTAGGAACAGATCGACAATCTATAAAACCACTCTCCTAGGCTTTCCATCTAACTTATGTTTTTTAGGAACAAATCGACAATCTATAAAACCACTCTCCTAGGCTTTCCATCAATCACGTAGGTGGAAAATCATTATGATAACTAATCCCCAATTGGTTTTCTTTTTTCCTTTTTAATTCCAAAACACACTGAAACAGCTAACAAAATCCCACATCAAACAGTTATAATATTCACATTCTTTTCATTTACACCACAACATTTTGTCTTGATAAAAACAAACCACATGTTCTTGTCTTAATCAAAGAGAGGAGTGGGGGGAAATCAACAAACACATGTAAACAGCAAACCTAAGCACACATTATTGTATATATGTAACTGCATCACAACCCAAGCAGAGTCCCTCTAATCAAAATAAGGAAGATCAAGATAATAAAATTGGACATTGTTTAGTGAGTATTAGTCCTCCAACATGTTCACTTATGTGGACATGGAAAATTGTCAAATCGTCCTAACACACTTAGGAAAATAGCAACTTGCTCACTTATGTGGACATTTTTAGTGAGTACTAGACCTCCAACATGTTCGAGCAGGAAACATAGCCTACCAAAAGTATTTCAATCCATACGAAGTTGTTCTATGCATGTTGTATCATTAAGACCGATTAGTCGTGTCATGTGCTCTATTTGAGCGGGGACGTGGTCAGCCATACGATATGTCGCCTTCCCTGCCGATGCCTAAGAATACGGCAACGTCTTGGTTCAGCAAAAAACTTTAAGGCTACGTTTGTTTTGAGGGATTTGAAATCCCTTGATTTCAAAATTTTTTAAATATAAATTTTTTACTTGTACACTAGGATTAGGATTGATGTGTTGAAAATATTATAAATCAATTGTCTAGCTCGTTCCGATGGTGTTGACTCGCGGTGATATTGACGGCGTGGTCGTCAACGGTGATAAACAGTAGATTTTAAATGACTAGGTTTGAGGAGTCATTTAAAATCCTTCAAAATAATGACTAAAAAATATCTAGCATGAATTTGAAATCCTACCACTTCTATTACAATCCCAACCAACTTGCATGGGGATTTGAACTTGTAAATTTATAATTTCTAGATTTCAAATGCCTCAATAAATCTTTCAATCCAAACGTAGCCTATGTAAATATTAGATAATAGGAACAACTATTTGACGAGTTCGACCAGCAATAATAGTTCCAACTCCTCAATGTCAATATCCATGCTCATAAGAAAAATCTAACAGAGAAACAGCAGAGAATTAAAATCTTATACATCAAATTGCTTATACAAAGTCAACACAAGAAATAAAACCGGACACAGCCTCAACTGGAGAAAAGAATTAAGCTCAACTTTCTTGTGGGTTGACTGCGCTACTTGGTAATTCACCCACTATAATTTTGTCCGCATTCATAAGTGTGTTGTTTCCGCTCCAATACTTAAAGCGGAAATGGTTCGATAAAAGATATTACAAGAAAAATAATTACCGGTGGCAGTGGATCAAACAAAGAGCGGCCTCGTGATATGAGGATCTGCTCGTGTTGGTTACCCCTTCCACAAATTTCTGAGCAGGAGATAGGAATCCACGAGCTACAGGAAAAAAAAGGCTTATTTGCTTCGAGAAAACTTCGCGCGAGGAAGAAGACCAACTGCACTCTCGATTCGCTGTTATTTCAGTCAGGCGGCACTATGATTCTCACCGTCTAACTCGGGAGGAGCTGCTAACTCTGTGCAGTAAAATAATAAAACCGATATAAAGAAATCTTCCAAACAAAGAATTAAGACTAATACAGTTGTGTCGAGGCAGATACAAAAGAGGATTACTGGACGGAACATGAAGTACATGTTCGTTTCAAGCCTCGCCATTGATGAACTAGGGTTCTTCGCAGTGAGGTCGAGTGTTGAAAACGATGGACAATAGGGTTATTGGTAAAGGAAACCATTTTATTTGGGTTATATTGTAATTTTTGGTTGGTTGGAGGTTATTTTGGATGAAAAAAAAAATTAACAAAGATCCTCGTATCGAGTTAAATGCACCTATTTATAGTAATCGAAAAAAGATCCTCGTCCATCAATGGCGAGGCTCGAAACGAACATGTACTTCATGTTCCGTTCAGTAATCTTCTTTTGTATCTGCCTCGACACAACTGTATTAGTCTTAATTCTTTGTCTAGAAGACTTCTTTATATATCCAGCTTCCTTATATTACTGCAGAGTTAGCAGCTCCTCCCGAGTTAGGCCCAAATGAAGTAACTACGAATCGAGAGTGCAGTTGGTCTTCTTCCTCGCACGAAGTTTTCTCGAAGCAAAATGTTAATCATAATGTCTACTAGTCCCTTATTTTTTTCACCCCAAAATAACCTCCAAGTAACCCAAATAAAATGGTCTTCCTTCCTTCACTAATAACCCTATTGTCCATCGTTTTCAACACTCGACCTCACTTCGAAGAACCCTAGTCCATCAATGGCGAGGCTCAAAACGAACAGATACTTCATGTTCCGTTTAGTAATCTTCTTTTGTATCTGCCTTGACACAACTGTATTAGTCTTAATTCTTTGTTTGTAAGACTTCTGTATATATCCGGCTTCCTTATATTACTGCAGAGTTAGCAGCTCCTCCCGAGTTAGACGGTGAGAATCATAGTGCCGCCCGACTGAAGTAACTAAGAATCGAGAGTGGAGTTGGTCTTCTTCCTCGCACGAAGTTTTCTTGAAGCAAAGTGTTCATCAAAATCTCTACTAGTCCCTTATTTCTTATTTTTTCACCCTAAAATAATCTCCAAGTAACCAAAAATTACAATATAACCCAAATAAAATGGTCTTTCTTCACCAATAACCCTATTGTCCATCATTTTCAAACACTCGACCTCATTGCGAAGAACCCTAGTCCATCAATGGCGAGGCTCGAAACGAACAGGTACTTCATGTTCCATTCAATAATCTTCTTTTATATCTATCTCGACACAACTGTATTAGTCTTAATTCTGTATTTGGAAGACTTTTGTATATATCCGGCTTCCTTATATTACTACAGAGTTAACAGCTCCTCCCGACGGTGAGAATCCTAGATCTAGCGCCACCCGACTGAAGTAACTATGAATCGAGAGTGCAGTTGGTCTTCTTCCTCGCACGAAGTTTTCTCGAAGCAAATAAGCCTTTTTTTCCTATAGCTCGTGGAATCCTATCTCCTGCTCAGAAATTTGTGGAAGGGGTAACCAACAAGAGATCCTCGCATCACAAGGCCGTTCTTTGTTTGATCCACTGCCACCGGTAATTATTTTTATTGTAATATCTTTTATTGAATCATTCACTCTTTGAAAATTGGAGAGGAAACAACATACTTATGAATGCGGACAAGATTATATTGGGTGAATTACAGAATAGCGCTGTCAACCCACAAAAAAGTTGAGCTTGATTCTTTTCTCCAATTGAGGCTGTGTCCGGTTTTATTTCTTGCATTGACGTTGTATAAGCAATTTGATGTATAAAATTTTAATACTCTGTTGTTTCTCTGTTAGATTTTTCTTATGAGCATGCCTTGAGGAGTTGAAACTATTATTGTTGGTCGAAGAAGTTATTAATCTCGTCAAATTGTTGTTCCTACTATCTTATATTTACTTAAAGTTTTTTGTTGAACCAAGATGTCGCTGTATTCTTAGGCGTCGACAGGGAAGTCGACATATCATATGGCTGACAGCCTCCCCGCTCAAATAAAGGACATGACACAACTAATCAGTCTTAATGATACAATATGCATAGAACAACATCGTATGGATCAAAATACTTTTAGTTTTAGTAGGCTATGTTACTTGCTTGAACATGTTTGAGGTCTAGTACTCACTAAAAATGTCCACATAAGTGAGCAAGTTGCTATTTTTCTAAGTGTGTTAGGACAATTTGATAATTTTCCATGTCCACATAAGTGAACATGTTGGAGGTCTAGTACTTACAAAAAAATGTCCAATTTTATTATCTTGATCTTCTTTATGTTGATTAGAGGGACTCTGATTGGGTTGTGATGCAGTTACAGATATACAATAATGTATGTATGCGTATGTGTGTTTAGGTTTGTTGTCTACATGTGTTTGTTGATTTCCTCCCACTCATCTCTTTGATTTAAGACGATGAACATGAGGTTTGTTTTATCAAGACAAAATGTTGTGGTGTGAATGAAAAGAATGTGAACATTTTACCTGTGGGATTTTGTTAGTTGTTTGAGTGTGTTTTGGAATTAAAATGGAAAGAAGAAAATCAATTGGGGATTAGTTTCGAGCCGAGCCATACTTCCTCAAACATCGAATAACGGTCCGACCGGCCTACCCCATGAGGCAAATCTTACACCGGCCAAACACCTTTGGGAGGATGACGAAGTGGGCGTTCGAGTTAAGTTAGTATGACATGCAATATCGACCCCGAACCGCTATTAAGGGACATGCCCTGTCCGCAATACAACAAAAATTGATTCAGATAGCACTTCTTATATAGAGTTCTTTTAAGAAAGTGCTATGCTAAGAAAAGGGAACACACAGATGACACTCGTTTTACCAAAGGTTGTAGCAAATATAACACTTCCTTTAAAAGTGTTATAGCAAATATAAACACTTGTAGCAAATATAACACATAATACCCCACAACCCAAAGAGAACACTGATAACTCCCTCTGTTCGTGCGAATTGGGAAGATTAAAAAAAATTGTAACTCCTCAGAACCCTCCTCTCAACAGAACCATCACCATCAACGTAGCCAACTTCCCCACCATCTCCATCATCACTGATCATCGGCGGCGGTAAGATTTTACTTTCGGTCATGTCCCCCCTCTTCTCCCTCCTAATCTCTATTCACTCCCTCTGAGTTTTTGTTTCTATATTGTCAGGTCGAACATTGCTCGTTGAAATTGATTCACTATAGAGGTGTAGAGAATTCGTTTTAGTTAACCTATCTTCCCCAAATTAAATTTTAAAATTGATTTATATTGATCTAATTACAGTACTTCTAGTTTGTTATATGAAAACCTCGAATACATAAATAAGTTCTGAATTAGTTCTCAAATATTGTTTTTGATTAGTTGGAAAGGAAAAAAAAAATATATATAGATGATGCCATGTTTTTTGGTGCCTGTGTAGGTGGGTTTTTGTTTATGTCAAACCAGATAGTTCGAACTAGAGTTATGAATCATGATATAAATTTAAAAGTAGTTCAAAACAAGGTTTTCTTGTGATATCATTCATTCTCTCATTTTTGTCTTAGTTGATTTGAATTTAGTGACTTCATGAGATGCAGATTTGGATATGCATGTGATGTAATAGAAGATACCATACTTGTCTTTGACTATATATAAAGCTTTCTCTGTAGCTGATAACCACTCATGCATTATTTTGCCAGCGTGTTTGGAAACACAACATGTAATGTAATAAATGTCACAATCTAGTGGAACTTTTGTTTGTGTTGGATATACAAGTATTTTGTAGTTTTTTCTTCATTTGAAATATGACCTATAGTTATACAATATGAATTACTTATCTACATGAAAGTTTTTTTAAGTCTCCAAGATCCCACTGAAATGTGAATGTGTGTCACTTGTGAGATTATAGTTGAACTTTCACCTATAGAGATTGGTAAATATAAAAAATGGAGCATGTGTTCAGATCTTAAAAACCGTGGCATACCACCAATTTGATTAACATTGAACGACCTCAAGAAATAGTTGGTCATAGCTCATTTAAACACTTTGTTCTGGATCTCCACTCTTTACAAAACTAACTAATCTGCCTTGGATCCTTGTTTCTGTTCAAATTCTTGAAATGGACACTTACAGGTATTATGGATACTCCACATTTGATCCAGAAAGCACATATTGCACATGTAGTGATGGTAGCGGTATTAGACAGATGATATAGTGTAAACATTCTCTCAAGATTATGATAAGTAATTTAAATGATTGTATCATGTTTAATTCTCTTTTTCATCCGAAGCGTGATAGGAAGAATCAGAAAGCTGATATTGCATCATGGTCCAGCTACTGGAAAAGAGCTAAAGGTAACATTCTAACATACTCTATTTTTACTTATGTTTCAGGAGGGTTAATTTTCCAGAAATCAAATAACTTCTAATATTTTCATGATATTTTATGGGATTTTGAATTCGTATATATTTTCTAGTATTGGAGGAATGTTTTGATGCAATCTTTATTTTTATTTTTATCTCTATCTAAATTGATTGCTTAGCGGAAAAATAATATTTAGTAATGTACTTCTCAACTTCAGGATACTACAAAAGAAATAAGAAAGAGAGATGATGCTATATATTGCAAAAACGAAGGTAAGAACTATCACAGTTTCGTGTCTAGTTGAAATGGATCGACACAAACATGGATTTTAGTTATATTTGACTATAATTTACTTTGATTTGATATTGCACATTATTCACTTGTATATTTAGTTTAATATTTTTATTAATGTAGAATTTGCTATAATTTACTAGTTGATGTATTATGTACTATGTTGTCCTATAATTCTAGTGGTTCTTGTTTGCAATGATATTTGATATTTGTTTTTTGCCTAAATGAAAAGGGTTATGACACATCATAAATTATTTAATTATTATATTTTCTTTTTCACAGGTTGACGTTGAAGAATGAAACTCAAACATAGTTCTATTGATTTGTACTTGGGCCAAGGCTATAGACTCGTTGAATACATCAGTGTAGCGCGCATGCGGCCCAGAACATCTAAGGGCATCACAGACCTGTTATTGCCTCAAACTTCCGCGGCCTAAAAGGCCGTAGTCCCTCTAAGAAGTTGGCCACGGAGGGATACCTCTGCATAGCTAGTGTTATAAGTGTGGTATGTGAATATAAAAAATGGCTTAAGAAATCAGAAGGAAATGACGAAACGAACAAAGTCGAGGCACGTAAGGTACACTCTCCTTAAGACAAAATAGCCCCGTATATTACCCACGGTTCACGGCTAACGCCTCCAAGATACAACGACTTTGATTTGTGTATAGCGGTAACTCAAATACACAAACCTTCGGCGAGCAATACTCAAGTTTCGGAACTCTCAAGATAAGAAAGAACACAAAGAACACAAGATGAATATGAACTTTGTAAAAAGGATGCAAAGACTTTTGGAAAATTTCATGTACTAAATGATTTCATGTTTGTGGGTATTTATAAATGTAGGAAAATACCTCCAAGAGGTTTAAGTGTCAAAAGACACCTTTTGGGACGTGCCCGTACGAGAACGGATGCATCTAGTGGCCAAAAGATACCTTATGGTCACCAAGGGTTGCAACCCTTTGATTTCCGCAGCCAGTTGCGCGCCCGTGCGCCACGGGCTCGTACGAGCTCATACGGACTCGAAATCGAGTTTCGTTTTTTCCTACTTGTCTCAACGAGCCCTTCTACAATAATAACATATATAATGCATAATTATGGCTCGTTTAGTTTGTCCAAACATTTGTCAAAACAGAATGTTTGTGAACCCTACAATCTTTGAGTTATTTAAACTCAATTAATTAACATATAACACTTAGAATTAATTTTTCATTCACCTTAAAAAAGTTTGAGAATTTCCTAAGTCTTCTACTTACGAAAAATAGAATCGTTAAATCGGTACAAAACCAATTTTTCTAACAATTTCTTGTTCTCACGTTGTGTCCATTTCGGTCTTGGACCATATCTCGGTTTAGTAAGTGTTCGTTGAAGCGACCTATTTACTTCTCACTTACAAAGGTGATTCTCCTATAAAGAGTATCCTGCCTTACTCTACCCATAGGTATAGGAATCATTAAAAGTCCTCGACTTAACCTCACCACTTAGGCAAATTTTAACACTTGACGGTTCTTGGGAATGAGTGAAGTTTTCAAGTGTTTCACTGAACTGTCAAAACTTAGTTTTCCCATTGAACCAAGGTTTCGGGATCTCCGATTCTCAAGGTTGGGTTACCGCTAAGACTGTTCTTATGTTGTGGATTTTAATCTCATTCCCCTAACCAACTTGTACATTTGATTTTGGTTAATGCCTTTAGTAAGTGGATCCGCTAGGTTTTCCTTTGACTTGACATAGTCAACCGAAATAACCCCACTCGAGATCATGTGTCTTATGGTATTATGTCTCCGACGTATATGTCGAGACTTACCATTGTACAAGCTACTTTGTGCCCTTCCAATTGTCGATTGATTATCACAATGTATCATCACGGCGGGCGCTGGTTTTGTCCAACATGGAATATCCTCGAGGAAATTCCTAAGCCACTCGGCTTCTTCCCCGGCTTTGTCCAATGATATAAACTCGGACTCTATCGTGGATCTAGCAATACACGTTTGCTTAGAAGATTTCCACGACACCGCTCCTCCACCTATAGTGAACACAAAGCCACTAGTGGACTTGGAGTCTTTTGTGTCAGATATCCAATTTGCATCGCAATACCCTTCAAGTTTCGCTGGATACCTCGTATATGTTATTCCAAAACTCAAGGTATGTTTCAAATACCTAAGTACCCGAATCAGAGCATTCCAATGGTCTTCGCTCGGGTTACTCGTGAACCTACTTAGTTTACTCACCGAATATGCTATATCGGGCCGAGTACAATTCATCAAGTACATCAAGCTCCCAATTACTCGTGAGTATTCTAGTTGAGAAACTGGTTCACCTCGATTTTTAGCTAAATGTTGAGTTAAATCAACAGGAGTCTTAGCCGGAGGCTTATCGAATGCATTGAACCTCTTCAAGATGTTTTCAACATAATGGGATTGTGATAAAACAATTCCTTCCGAACTTTTAGAGATTTTAATCCCTAAGATCACATCGGCTTTTCCCATATACTTTATGTCGAAATTATTTTTTAACATTTTCTTGGTACTAAGAATTGAACCATTATCTTTTCCCAAGATCAACATGTCGTCCACATATAGGCATACGATCACGAATGAATCGATGTTACCTTTAATATAGACACATTTGTCACATTCGTTGATTTTAAATCCATTCGACAACATCACTTTGTCAAACTTTTCGTGCCATTGCTTAGGTGCTTGTTTTAGTCCATAAAGCGACTTAACCAAGCGACACACTTTTTGTTCTTTTCCGGGAGCAACAAATCCCTCGGGTTGTTCCATATAAATTTCCTCCTCGAGGTCTCCATTTAAGAAGGTCGTTTTCACATCCATTTGATGAATCTCAAGGTCATGCATTGCTGCAATTGCAATGAGAACACGTATAGACGTGATTCGAGTTACAGGAGAATATGTATCAAAGAAATCATATCCCTTCGTTTGCTTTAAACCCTTTTACAACCAATCGGGCCTTATACTTATCAATAGTTCCATCAGCTTTATACTTCCTTTTAAGGATCCATTTACATCCCAAAGGTTTGCTTCCCGGTGGGAGATCAACCAACTCCCATGTATTATTGTGCATAATGGATTCTATCTCACTATTGATAGCTTCTTTCCAAAAAAGAGATCCAAACTTGTCAAAGCTTCCCGAATGGTTCTCGGTTCGTTCTCTAACACATAAGTTAGAAATTCAGGACCAAAAGACTTAGGTGCTTTTGTTCTCTTACTACGCCTTGGCTCATCCTCAATTTCTTAAGGTAGCTTGGCCTCTTCGAATGTTCTTTTTCTCGGAATTGTTACTTCCTTGTCTTTACAAGGAAAAATATTCTCAAAGAACACCGCATTTCGAGACTCAATAATTGTTCCATTATGAATCTCCGAATTTTGTTATTTGTGCACCAAAAATCTATATGCACTACTATTGTTTGCATAATCAATAAATATACAATCAATAGTCTTTGGTCCAATTTTCACTTGTTTTGGTTTAGGTATTTCAACCTTTGCCAAACACCCCCACACCTTTAAGTATTTGTAGGTAGGCTTATGACCTTACCATAACGCATATGGTGTTTTGTCATTACCTTTGTGGGGTAATTTATTCAAAATATAATTTTCCGAAAGAACCGCTTCCCCCCACAAATTTTGGATTAAGCCCGAACTTATCAAAAGCGCATTCATCATCTCTTTTAGTGTCCGATTCTTTCTCTCGGCCACTCCATTAGATTGTGGTGAATATGGAGCTGTCGTTTGATGAATAATACCGGACTCTTTGCAGAGCACTTCAAACGGGGCTACATACTCGCCTCCTCTATCACTTCGAATCGCTTTGATCTTTCGACTAAGTTGATTCTCAACTTCATTTTTATACGTCTTAAAGGCCTCTAAAATGCCTCATCTCTACTCTTTAGGAGATAAACGTAACAATACCTTGTACAATCGTCTATGAATGTAATGAAATACTTCATCCCAGCTCGAGTTTGTACAAACTTTAAATCACATATGTCAGTGTGAATTAACTCGAGTGGACTAGTGCTTCTCTTCACCGGTTTAAACGGTGCTTTAGCCACTTTTGCTTCAACACATGTTTCGCACTTGTTGTGTGAATCGATTTTAACTTTAGGTATCAATTCCAAATTCACCAACCTCTTAATAGTGTTAAAGTTCACATGTCCTAATCTATCATGCCATAAATTAGAACACTCCAACAAATAAGAAATACTTTCTTTATTCTTCGCCTCTTGGCGGATAACATTCATTACATTCATCTTAAAAAGACCCTCATCTAGGTACCCTTTCGCTAAGAAGACACCATTCTTAGTCATTACAAATTTATCGGCCTCAAAGACTAATCTAAAACCGGCTTTGCTCAAAAGAGCACCGGATACAAGGTTCTTACAGATGTCCGGGACATGCATCACTTCAGTTAGCGTCAAGTCTTTGCCCGATGTCATTTTCAGCACCACCTTGCCCGTTCCCACGACGTTTGATGTCGAAGAGTTGCCCATGTATATCTTCCTTCCGTCAGTAGGGGTATAAGACGAGAACATATCTCTATCCGCACAAACATGCCGAGGTTCTCCCGTATCGACCCACCATTCTCGTGGATTATTAACCAAGTTAACTTCTTGGACCACGGCGGTAAGGTCGACCTCAGATAAGTCAATGGGAACAAATTTATCCTCGGCTATATGCGCGCTATCTTTACCCTTCTTCGGGAGACGACAATCTTTCTCAAGATGCCCAGATTTACCACAATTGTAGCAATTCCCTTTGAACTTCTGGTGCTCGTTTGTGGCTGCTTTCCATTTGAAGTTCTCTTGCGCTTCTTTTTGGAGTTTGACTCGGCCAAGTTTGCCTTAGCCTCGTAGTCGCTCCGGTTGGCCCTTACTTCAGACTTTCGGTTATCTTCTTCAATTCAAAGTCGAACAATCAAGTCCTCCAACGTCATCTCTTTGCGTTTATGCATGAGATAGTTTTTGAAGTCCTTCCAAAGAGGTGGTAACTTTTCAACAATAGCCGCAACTTGGAAGGCTTCATTCACAATCAATCCTTCGGCCAACAAATCGTGAAAGATGATTTGAATCTCTTGGACTTGGCTAACCACGACTTGGTGTCCACCATTAAGTACTTTAGGAATTTGCCGACGAGAAATTTCTTAATCCCGGCATCTTCCGTCTTATACTTTATCTCCAAGGAATTCCATAACTCCTTTGCCGTCTTAATCGAACTATAGACATTGTAGAGAAAGTCGTCTAGTCCGTTAAGGATTTTTACACAAGAAATCATTGTGATGCCACGCATCCGAGGCCGTATGCTTTTGCTCGTCGGTCTCACTTTCGGGGACGATCAAAGGGTCCTCCGAAAGAAAACGAGAGAGGGAGAGAGTTGTGAGGTAGAACAGCATCTTTTGTTGCCACCTCTTGAAATCAGATCCATTGAACTTCGGCGGTCTCTCGCCTTGGACGGGAGCAGCTACCATCGATTGAGCACTTGAAGAAGACGTTTGATTTCCTCCGGTTGCCATCTTATGAACTCACAATATTTCGTCTTAAGATTGTTATAAGTGTGGTATGTGAATATCAAAAATGGCTTAAGAAATCAGAAGGAAAATGACGAAACGAACAAAGTCGAGGCACGTAAGGTACGCTCTCCTTAAGACGAAATAGCCCCGTATATTACCCACGGTTCACGGCTAACGCCTCCAAGATACAACAACTTCGATTTGTGTATAGCGGTAACTCAAATACACAAACCTTCGGCGAACAATACTCAAGTTTCGGAACTCTCAAGATAAGAAAGAACACAAAGAACACAAGATGAATATGAATTTTGGTAAAAGGATGCAAAGACTCTTGGAAAATTTCATGTACTAAATGATTTCATGTTTGTGGGTATTTATAGATGTAGGGAAACACCTCCAAGAGGTTTAAGTGTCAAAAGACACCTTTTGGGACGTGTCCGTACGAGAACGGATGCATCTAGTGGCCAAAAGATACCTTATGGTCACCAAGGGTTGCAACCCTTTGATTTCCGTAGTCAGTTGCGCGCCCGTGCGCCGCGGGCTCGTACGAGCTCATACGGACTCGGAATCGAGTTCCGTTTTTTCCTACTTGTTCCCAACGAGCCCTTCTACAATACTAGCATATATAATGCATAATTATGGCTCGTTTAGTTTGTCCAAACATTTGTCAAAACAGAATGTTTGTGAACCGTACAATCTTTGAGTTATTTAAACTCAATTAATTAACATATAACACTTAGAATTAATTTCTCATTCACCTTAAAAAGGTTTTGAGAATTTCCTAAGTCTTCTACTTACGAAAAATAGAATCTTTAAATCGGTACAAAACCAATTTTTCTTACAGTTAGTTAGCAGGCTGAGGTCTCATTCGTTAACGGAATTAACCAGACAAATCGCTCCACCAACTAAGAACGGCCATGCACCACCACCCATAGAATCAAGAAAGAGCTCTCAGTTTGTCAATCCTTACTATGTCTGGACCTGGTAAGTTTCCCCGTGTTGAGTCAAATTAAGCCGCAGGCTCTACTCCTGGTGGTGCCCTTCCGTCAAGATAATGTGATGCTGCTACGGCTATAATGTGAATCGTCTTTTCACCACTGAACCGATATATGACGCGTGCCAGTACCAGTCATTCTCCCGTGCCAGCGGTAACCGTGACGAGATAATCTGATGCCGTAGTAGCTATATTCGGAATTGTCGGGTCGCTTGCAGCCCAGTGAGATAATGTGATGCTGCTACGGCTATACTGTGAATTGTCTGGTTGTTGCTGACCCGATGAGAAGTCGAGGGCACCATCTAAGTTAGTTCAGACTACAAGGTAATGTCATGTATTTAACAAGAGAAAATGGACTTTTGACTTGAAACTAGGAAAAGTGAAGATATAAATTAATAAGTTTACTCGGTTTCAGCTATTCATTGTATTTTCTGTTATAGAATACTTGCGTGGAACACTTCATATGGAAGCTGTTCAAGAGCTCGAGTTATAGTACTCTCTCTCTCTCTCTCTCTCTCTCTCTCTCACACACACACACACACACACACAAACACACACACAAACACAAACACACACACGGGTGCCTGCTCATTATTTGTCTTCATGTATGCACATATGGGATAATATCATAACAATCATCAAATAGGTGTATAATAAATAACATGCAGTTTTGAGTTGCTACTAATCTAGTTGAGGTTTTCTCTTTTGGCCACAACCAAACCAAGTGGCCATCTTTTATTCGGCTAATTTGTGACGGTCTTTCAATTATGCAGGTTGATATTTGGCTTGCATACTCTTCTAGTATTTCTGGCCTGGCCTTTTTCCCTAGCCGAGAAAGATAAGCTCGCATGGTGATGGTGCTAGTGAAGTGAATAGCCAAGCAGGGATTGTTGTTATGTTCACACCTGAGTTTTTCTTCTTTCTGGGGGAGTTAAAAAAACACCTTTATAGCTAACAATTCTAGTTTTTGTCTCTGTATTGCTGATGACAATAAAATTGTACTGTGCTACCGTTGCATATCCTGCAGTGAGATTAGTTTGTTAACTTTCTGGATTTTGGATGTGGAAAATGGAAAATCTCTCAGCTTATAAAGTTGATCTGAAATTTTGAATATGCTGAGATGTTACGAATTGAGCTTCTGCATCCTTGTGCCGAACACTGCATTGGCAGAAGTATGGTGATCTGTATCAATACGAATCTTCACTTCTATTAAGAGAGTTAACAACTTATAC